CAACTAAATGAACTCTGCATTCCGTCTGCATGATGAGTTGGAGAAGTTCATATGATACACCGTCTTGCCCACACGATTTACCAGATTTACAGGTGGCGAGAACAGTACAAACTTCTTCCTCAGTGATTAGGGCAGGTTGTGGAATTGGGGAGCATGAATTCGCGAAAAGCACGTCAAGGGGTGAAACACATTGAATTTCAGGCTCGGACCACTTTTCTCTGAAGTGGCTTCTGAGGTCCTTTATGGCCTTCGACTTGCCACCAGCCCTGACGAGGTAGTTATTATGCGAAGCAAGAACATTCTGTCGTCTTTTGAAGTAGCTGATAGCTTTGTAGTCACCATTAGCTGACTTGTTCAGGACCTCAGTGAGCCACAGGTTTTTGGCCGTGGCCCGCAGTCGCACTATTTCTCTACCAAGTTCTCTGGCTTCTGCTCCTCTCAAGAGTCTGCGTTGGCGGATCTTCTCAAGGATTTCAGGGGGGTCTTTGTATCGGAAGCTTTTGGGGCGGAAGGACGTATTGGAGGCCAGCTCAGCAAGGTCATGACAGGTAAGGTCGTTACCGGACAGATCAAGGCGATGGCAGAGAGTCTGGGCTTGAGCAAAGACCTTACTGGAATCCGAGATCCACTTGCCGCAGCGATTGATGGTTCTTTTGGGTCTGTTGGTTTTCGAGATGCGCGAGACCGGATATGCGGCAGTAGCACACCGGTGATCGCACCCCAGAAACACGTCCGTGTCTGCCAGGACTTCTTCGTGACTAAAAGCATTAAGTGGAGAGGACAGGAGAATAAAGTCAATCTTAGAGCAGGACCCCCTAGTGTTACTCCAGGTATAGGTCTCCGGTCTGGTGTGAATAAGTCCATAGTTACGAAGAAGTAGCTGGCAGTAGACCTCTCTTTCATCAATTCGGCTATTTGGATCGGAGGCAGGGGAAGCACCTATTTCGTAGTTAGTGTCCATGGTGAAAAGAATAGTGTCAAAGTAGCGGCGCTTCTTAAGGATGTCCTCAAGTTGGGACAAGAAAGTCTGCCAGCACGACAAACAGTCGTCTCGTTGCCGGTGAGGCAAATGTGCACTAATTACGAAATGTTTGTGTCCATGCATTCGCATAACGACACAGAGTCCGACATCAAGCGGAATGATTTGCTCAACGTCACATGCATTTTTTGTCGGCATTCCAAGAAGTACCGACCTCCATGCTTTAGGGGGATTCGTGCAGTAAAATGTCCATGCTTCGTCAAATTCGACATGCATTGTATCCCACGGCTTTGTTTGATCCCCCAGACCCCCAACCTCTTGAAGACCAAGGAAGTCAGAGCCCTGAAGACCAAGGGTCGGCCACGCTGTCGCAATGTCAGCAACTGATTTGCCCTGTACGTTCCAGCTGGCAGCGTGCATGGCTTGGGTCTGGGGGATGCTTGTGGGTCAAGGATTGCTAGGGCAATGACGCTCCCAGAGTTCGGTGAGCTCGGAGGCAGGGTAGCCCGTTAGGGATTCAAACTGGGCAGACCTGACAAACCATGGGATGTGATTGCCTCTTGCATCGCTGATTATGAAATCATTCACGCTAGGTTCACCGTCTCGATCCATGGAGCCAACAAGTTGGAACTGATGCACGAAGAGTCTGCCGTTCCACATGATTTCAATATCACGTTCAGGGATTTGTGGTCTGCCTTTGCAGCCTGGTAGGTGCTTCAAGAATTCTTTGGTAAGAACAAGAGCACGTACTCTCTCTCGCTCTTCTTTGGTCTTGCTCTTTGTGGCCCAGATCTTGTTACCTTCTGACCCAGGTACTCCACTAGTAAAGCGCTTTGTCTTGAGCTTATCAAGGATCTGAAGCTGAGCTACTCTGCGAAATTTGATGTGGGCATCGGGGTCCTTGAAGACGAGCTGAACTTTGATAAAATTTGTTCGGCTATAGGGTGCCCAGAGTTCGCTGTAGCTGTCCGGCATTCCAATGGCATTGAACATGTTGGCTACTTCTTGCTGTGCGTCCCCTTTTTTGGCATCGGTCCAGCCTCCAATGATGATGTCCAAGTCACCTTCTTCCTCCCTACTGCCAACAGAGCTTCTCGGGGATCTCGGAGAGGGGGGCCCACTACGGCCGAAATTCCTAGGGGGGGTCAAGGTCCGTTTTGCATCTTCGAGTTCGGAAAGTCTCTTCTCCATGTCTTGTATCTTATCGAGTTCTTGAATCCTGGCTTCAAGTTTTTTGATTTGTTCTTGGGCCTGAATGATGTGTTGGGTATGTTCATGCGAGACAGCTTCAAGATGAGATACTCGGATGCCCTGTGCTTGAATTTCAGCACCGTATTGTGCAAGTTCAGTTCGCGATAAGTCAACTTTGTTGTGCAGGCTCATAATCCCGGACTGAATTTCCTGGACCCATGGGGGGGCATCGCTACTCAGGGGAAAAGGACCAACGGTTGCTGCAGGGTTGTGTGTGAGAAGTGTTGCTGGGACATGTGATGAGTTGTAGGCTGGTGCAGCAGTGTTTGCTGTTTGGAGTTCATCATCATCGGTGGTTTTGGTCCCTGTTCTTTCGGCTTCACGCTCCTCGCTACTCGGCTCACGCTGTGTTGGCAAGTCCACATCATCATCTTCGTCATCATCAGCAGTAAGGTCGAAAGTGTCATGTGGGGGGAGTACAGTATCCTTGAAGATCTTGTTTCCGATCTTAGGCAGGGCAGTGTTCTCCGGTAGGGCTTCGGGCTTCTCGGGGAGGGTCTCTGGTTTCTCAGGACGATCACTACAGGATGTACCAAAGTCAGGCATGGCGGCATCGGTACTGGTGTCTTCAATTTTCTCGAGCTTTGGCTTTTTGGAGTCAGGAGCAGTAACTTCGGGCGAGTTCTTATCATCTCTAGGCTCGGCGGTGGTGGATCGCCTCTCGCGGGAGTTACGGGGTTTACGGGTTTCCTTGGTTTCCCTAGATGCACGATCCCTAGGAGCATCACGAGTACGCCCACGTTGAGGCGCTTCCAAAGCCTGAGTGTGCCTTCCGACAGGAGGCAAAGGTGTGGCCATCCCCCTTTCTTACTTTGGGCCTCAGGGTTTCTTCTTTTTCACTTCCTCTCCCTCTCTCACTCGAGACGCGACAGAAAGAGAAAGACCAGCCTGCGGACCAGAGTCCCTAGGAACCAACCGATGAAGCCCAGGAAAGCCCCTTCCCTTCACAAGTCGCTTGCAACGGTCCCGGTAGCTGTAAGCCGAAATCTGGCTTGAGCCATTTACGTAAGCAGAACGGCCATTGACCATGTCTGCTCCCAGCTCACTACCATCATCCCAATATCGCACGAAAACCTGCGCGACGCCGCCCTCTTGTGAGACAGACGCTCGAGCAGCAAGAATTGTAGACTCACCGGGGCTTAAGAGCACAATCTTTTCTGCGCGCCAAGTCAGATAATCCGTCCCGTCGTAGACTCCGACTTGGAGGGGCTTCTCAGAGCGATTGGTGACGAAGACGGTGGTTATGTCACGTGTCCCTGGCGGGCCATCAAACATGCTGACGGCAAAAGCAAACCCCTTCATGCTCATGGACAGGACGAAGGGTACTGGGTTGGAAGCGAAGCAAACAGCAACGTCGCAACCAAAGCCGACCGCTTCCGCAATAAGGATCGCCCACTTCTTCGGGTTAAGGGAGTCGCTGCGCAATTCCACGAGAAGCATGATGATGTTCTTCACGTCCAGGATAACCATGAGGACAGGCAACCAGGCCTTCCACCACGGGTTTGAATCAACCTTGAACTCCAGAACGAGGAGAACAATGACAAGCACCATGCGCAGAAAGCTTGTCAGAGCTTCCCAGTGGTGAGCACCACCATATGTAATTGAGGACACCAAACGAGTGATGAACTCGCCAAGCTGCGTAACGGCATTGAGAATCGCGAGGAGCTTCCTGCCACCGGACTTTCCATGGGTCTCTTTGAGCTTTTGGGCATTCACTGCGATGGTATCTACACTGCTTTTCAGGCAACTTGCCAAAGCGGACCAGTCAATCTCTTCCCCCTTCCACAAGGCCTTCCATGCCTGCTTGGCTATCTCCCACAACATCCTGGATGCTGCCCCCGTTATGGAAAACACTGCGATCCACTTCCCTTTGCTCTTTGGTGTCTTGTCTTTTGTCGCAACCTGCTGCTTTTCGTTGTCCGGCAAAGTCACAACCTGCTGCGCGTTGTCCGGCAATGTCGCAACCTGCTGCTTGTCGTTGTCCAGCAAATCAATCTTGTTGTCAATGCTTTCTGAGGGGCTCGTTGGCGGCAACGTCTCACTGTCCGACGGACTGTCATTGGCTTTGAAAACGGCATTGTATTCTTGAGCGCTGCCTGGGAATGTTGCGGCATACGGTCTGCCACCTGGAGGTAGGCTCAAATAGCAAGCCATGGTCATCAAGGCTTTGTAATCACGATCCGCGACCTGCTTCAACTGCACTTCCTGACCAGCCTGCCCACCACCTGTCACCTCCCAGCAGCGAAGCGTCAATTCATCACAGGTTGCACGTACGTGTTCACCCTTGAGGAATCCGGCAGAGAGCCGTAGATGTTGATGTAGATGTTGTTGTCCTTGTTAACACGGGCATGAACCACCTTCGCTTCATGTGGCCCAATCTCCAACATCTCTTCACACATCCACGTGACTGCGTCAGCCCCATCATAGCTGTAGACCCTCAACGTCTGAGAGGTTTTGTTCTCGATAAGTGCAAAGCCATAGCCGTAGAACTGGAACCAGCAACGCTCTTGCGGCTTCCCTGGACGGAAATCCGTCGTCTCATCCATGGTCTGTGTCATGTTGCTAGATCACTCGTAAGCAACTATAAACAGCTTGAACCAAAATGGCTCCTAGCGTTTGGGGGCTGAGGTGGCTTTGGAGTGGCTTCAAGCCGCACCCGGAGGGCTGCCCGATATGTTGCACTCTATCGCGTACAACTCTTGTGGTAGCATTTGCAACAACACTGAACCCGGGACAAGTGGAGCATCAGTTCTTTGTGCAGGCAAGCCACAAGCGCGTGCTGATGGTCTTTGTGGGAGGGTCTTCCCGCTCCTTGAGTCAAGGTGCCGAATTTGCACATGGCCGAGTTTTCCAAATAAAATGTATTCTTATAGGTATGAAGTAACAGTGATAATGATAACTGTGTGCCTCTTCCGCCCTGCTTCTCTGTTATGCTGGTCGTGGCAGGATTGCCCAACAAAGCTCGCAGGACCCTTCATCCGAGGTGGCGGCTTTGGCTTTCCGGCGCACCCTTGGTTTCACCAAAGCTTGGGGCTTTCTCGGCGATGTCTAGGGTTACAGCTCTGTCACAGCCATGAGGGGCCAGATGCTTACGGTTCAGGAGTTGGGACAGGGGGAAGGTGGCATGTAGAACCGAAGGAAAAAAGACTCATCTTCCGGCACAGCAGCTGCAGAGATGGACTTCCCCTGCCAGGGATGGGTTGCTGTTCAAGCGGGTTTCACGTGGCATCTTCGTGGCATCAGAAATACGGCAAGTCCTAAAGAAAGACTGCGGACCAGAAGTAGACGCGAATGGCTGTCGTGCCTACCTACTGCGCTCTAGCACGCTTGCTTTACGGGTGAGGGTGTGCGAAGATTACTGTCTTGATGCGACCGCTACGATGACGATGGCCACGATGATTGCAAAGAAGAGAATGATGATGCTGCTGGTGATAGAGCTGGTGGCAGCGACAAGTGGTTTGCGCTTGCCGTGGAACATGTGGACGGAGATGGAAAGGACTGCTACTGCTGTCGCTCATGACAAGGCCAAATGTTTAATAGTAAAGTCGCATTCGATCCATGCACTGGGTCCCGGCATCTGCGTAATGTAAACTCCCATGGCTCCGGCGCCCTCAACCCCCATCCTCACCACACACTTCGAGACACGTAAACCCGTTCAAATGCAGTCTAAAACACAACCAGAATAAGATTCTGGAGTCTGCTGCCAACTTAAACCCCCGACCCAAGAATGCCAAGGCCTGGAAAACTGCCTCTGAAGTTGATACACGCTCCTCGGAGGCTCCCTCTGGGCCTTGAGGACACCGCCATGTTGTACGCCTCTTGGAATCGGGCGCCGATCAAGGCGATGGGCAAGGCCAGCAGCAAAATACCCGAGCACATGGTGAAGGCGCCTTGGAGAAGGGTCTTAGATTCGCAAGTTTGGTGGTTTAAGGGGGTTTTGGGGTTGGAGGGTTGAGGCTTATAGCGTTTTTAGGCTCAGGATTTTGTCTTGTGGTTTTTGACATTGGGGAAAGTGCGAGGCTAGGGATTCCGCTGGCCTAAAGCTGACTTGCGGAGGATCTGCTCAAATCCTCATTGTCCTAAGGAGCTAAAGGAATAATAATCATAACAATGGTAACAACAATGTCAAGAATAGCAATGACAACAATAATAACAATAATCGTAATAACATTAATCATACTGGTAATAGTAACAATAGATTCAATAGATAACAGCAATAACAATGACAATGATATCAATCCCTCCAGACCCTAAAGAGCTTCAGGGCTTCCGGGAAGCTTCACTTCTCAAGCTGCCCAACCCTCTCGGAGAATTTGTCCAGGCCTGCAACTTTGCCGGCGTTTGTCCGTGGGACCGTGTCGCCATAGCCCACCGTCGTCATCGTGACTATGGACCTGTCACTGTCGGGCTAGTTCGCACCTCTCTATGAAAGGCTTCTTGCAGCTGCAGCGTGGAAGTACGCTTGCTGCCAAGCAGCCACCAGAAGGTGGACCTCGAAATGCTGCATGAGGGTAATACAGAGGTCAAGCCGGAAAGGGAGTTTGCTGACGTCATACAACCACTGCACAAAGCAAGATGGGTGGGACAATGGGGGTGAACAGTAGGGATGGGGATTGGGCTGCTAGGGCCGGGGCGATGATCGCACTAAGGAGTGGCACTAAGGAGGCGGACGAGGAGGATTAGAATGAGGATGGCGGGGACGACAATACGATAGCAATGATCACGCTGGTTGTTACTTCCTGTCGTCAGTCTTCCGGTAAATGTGTTCCTGTCACTATTCACTACTTTTCGGGATGAACCCCTTTCATGAGTTCCCCGTCCTGCGGCCAAGCTGCAAGATGGACGGAAAATCCACCGGAGCGTCAAACTCATTGCAGCATAGGCCCAACTCCGACAGCCGCCTCACGTGGCACTCCTGGCAGCTTGGGAGGTCAACAACCCGAAACAAAAACCCTGAACCGTAACCTGCAGCCCTAGAACTAGGACCCTAAAACTCCCTAGACCCTACAGCCCTTTTTACACCTGGACTAACCCCAAACCCGAAACGGCACAGCGGGAACCAGAAGAAAGATGAGCTCTGGCTCTATCAACCCTTCTTACCAATCCCTAAAATTCATGGTTCCCTTAAATGCTTTTCCCCTAGTGTAGGGCCCTAAATAGTGACCTACACTATTTTAGGGGTCCTTGCAATAACTATAGTAACTATAGTACAATGGGGCCCCCAAACCCTACTTTAAATATTCAGGCCCCTACTTTAGGTGTGGGCCTGCCTGGAGGTAGGTCGCCAACTCCGTCTGGTTGAACCGCGCTCGGTCCTTCGGCGAAAGGAGCTTAAGGAGCGACCTCCGGAAAATCTATGGGTAAGGGTTTCCGATCTATCTTAGGGCCTTGGACTCTGGGGTTTTGAAGGCTTTCGCGGCTCAATTTTCGGCGCTCACACTCGGACAATCCAGGCGAGGCATGTGGTTCGAGGTCTGTTGAAGTATTGGGGATGGCCCAGGCAAACAAAGTTACAGCGAGAAATATCAAGACTGCACATCCCCCTCTTGAAATCCAAGCCAAATGAACACAGTGGCAGGGTTAAAGATTTTATGCAGCCCTATACTCTCACACTCGGACTCCCAGATGACGGTGAAAGTTGGTTTTTTCGCTATGGCCGTAAGGGCTGTGCAAATGCGCAATTTGGCACTCTTACAGGCTCGCAGGAAGAACTCTGCACCGTGCGGGCTATCGTCATATGCAATGCATGTTTAAGATTAGCGGGGGCGTTGTAGTCAGGCAAGCAATCCGAGAAAAATCCGTGGGAAGAGGTTTCCAACTGGTATGCCTTCTTCAACCCTGCAGCAGTATTCTATCTTTGTACGCTGAACCGAAAACTACTCCATGCACTGAGTCTGTTCGGGGCAGTGAGAAGAATTTAGTGAAGCTTTGGTATTGGCTGTAATTCAGCGTTGTCGACGGTGGGTTTCAACTCTCACGACTTGGACAAACGTTTGAAGAGCTATTGCTACTGCATGCTGCAGGACTGCGCCTCATGCAAGGCAACCTTTCACAATATATAGACTTGAATTCTACCCATATATTCCCTGGTTTCGCGAGAAGTCCTTCGACCTCATCATCTGCAATAAACCCTCCCTCAGCCTGCGATCCCGGAAGAGCAGACGGCTTAGGCTTTAGAGGTCGGGCGTTGAGCTTTACGGTTACATGTCACCAAAGCGTAGAGAATCGTGTTTCAGCAAAGGCGCTGGACAGGAGAGCTTCTCCACATGGTACACCACACCTGGCGCAGCAGGAGGCCGTCCGTTGTACTGTCTCACTGCTCTGCTCCTTCCAGCAACAGCACCCAACAACAAAGGGTCAAGACTGGAGGCCCACTGCCCAGCCTTGACAGTAGCATTCTGATGCAAGTTCCGTGCTCATGCAACCGTGCCATGTCATAAGGTTCTGTGGTCAACTCGTCTGGGGGTTGGTGTTTACTACGTCTGAGGGCTCAGGGCAAAAACGGAACTCCGAAGTTTAAGCTTTCAGTCTTTAGGGAGCTAGATTATGTTTGTTGTCCACACGGTCGGATCCGTGGTTCTACAGGCACCCGAAGTGAAACCCTCCAAGTGGGTAGGCATGGCAGGTGTGTGTGCTGCCAGGCTGCTGGAGAAGAGAACACAGCCGATGCCCAGGAAAAACACCAAGACGCTCAGCGCTTGCCCGCTGTTGCCTCTGTCATCTACTTTCGCTGCAGTTTCGACTCGCGAACAGGCGCGGCTCCACACTTCGCTGCGGTTTATGGGTTTTGGCCACCAGCTTCGGCGCCGTTTTTCTTGACCGCGAATCCTGATCAAAAATTAGGGTTTCGACCGTTTGGGGTATAGGGGGTCGCAAACCCAGTGCGGACTGCTCCTTTCCGCGGTCCAGGTTGGATGGAGTCCAGAGGCCCGAAACCACAGAGAAGCCCGCAACGAGAAAAGGAAGTAGCATAGTCGGCGCTGTGAAAGGGATTGGGACTTCGCATGTTGGGGGTTTGGGGCTGAGTCTTCATCACGAAGCGCTCAACACGGACGCGCGTGGTATGGTTGGTTGCAAGTCAAGACAGAAGAAACAGGGCTGTATGGTGCAATGATTTTATGCTCCGGTTTTGTGCAACACATTGCAACACCCCACGACTGGCTGACTGAATGCACTCTTTCCATCCGAAGTGCTATGCCTGCGGGGGGGAAAGGCTGAGTGGTGGAGGACGTAGGTCTGCAGCACTGTACTACATCTAGTGATTAGTCCGTGCAGATTTCGAAACCTTTGAGCTTAATCTCGCACTGTGCCGGCAGTAGCAACGATGATAAGCGACGAGGAAACAGAGCGCGACCAAACGGATAGGCAAAATAGCAAGCATAGCAGAAGCCACAGTAGCAACATGGTGCACTTTCATGCAACGACCTCAAGCGTTGCAGCACTAAGTCGTCCCCTGACTTGACATTCAAATTTAGCATGAATGCAATATGCTCTTTACAGTACTAGGATAGACAATGAACCTAGCGGGAATCGTTCGCACATCACCCCGTCAGATGCCTAGAGCGACCATCATCATTTTCAGGCCGGTGGAGTAACGCCCAAGCCTCGGCCGAGAAGGCGCGCCACATGACTCGTAATATCGGGCCTCCATAACTGCAACATGGTTTTGGGGCATAGTACACTGTAACTGTATACGCACTACCGCGACTACACAGGAATAGTTTCACTGACTGTCCCGACCCATATCAGGGAAGGGCTTCTGAAAGTTCCCACCACCTCCAAAGCTGAAGTGTGGCACTGCAGGGGTCCAAGCTTTCACGTCAGCACAAGTTCGACGAGGGGCTGAGGACCGGATCGGCACAGCCAACTACGACCATCTGTCCCGAACGACTGCCTATTGAGTACCTCCGGTATTGGTGCGAAAGATCTCCAAAAGACGGCTCCCCACATTGGTCCAAAATATGAACACCCCTCGTTCGAGCTACATTAGGCCAATTTGGCATTCAGGGTGATTACACCCATTCAAAGACCACGCCTAAACCACTGCAACTCCTCGAGCCCAAAATTTTGAAATCTGGCTAAATGCCAGTCTGGCGCGAGAATTCTCAAACTCCCGGAAGCTTCAAGCTTTCACCCCGAAGCCCCAAGCTGCAAGCATCCGAGCAGCTTGAAAATTCGGAAAAGACGTACAAGCCTCACTGCCCGGATGAAGCCTTTCGAGGAGAGCAGCTGACTACGGTGACTATGGTGCTCGTTGTGGTAGAGAGAACTCGGCACTTCGAAGTCTCCAAGCGAGGCAGATCAGATGCGTTCTGGTGCTGTTGTGGCAGCTGCATCCCTACCACTCTCCCTACGTCCCAAACTCCCAAGCTTTGCGTATGCCAGGTGCCTATGGCTTGACCCGACTGCAGGACCACGATCACAAAAAAGGGAAGCACTGCCACGACGTCCACGACGTTCATGGGAGTCCTACCACTTACTGGTACCAGGGCTCATCACATCGGATTCGTAGCCCTGGTGCTGGATGGCTTCCGGTTGAGACTTTCGCCTCCTGGGTTCCTAATCTGCCTCGTCCTCGAAACTGTGACTATCACCTTCCACTGCTGCGGCCTCCTAAACCTCAAGTCTCGAGGTCCACCTCCAAAAGCCCAGATTCACGCAACCAACATGGCCAAACCGTGATCAGTCTATCTCCCAATGTGCCCACCCGCAACACGGACACACACGGACGGACAGAGAACATCCAAGGCCGAAGCCAGGACAGTCTCCTTATCAGCATGCACTCCTTTCGACAGTTTCCTCCGAAAGCATGCGTTCACGAATCCTGATAGCTTCCATTTGTCAGCACATCTGTTCACCGTTCATGGCCGAGGGCATCCTCTTCATGACAAACCCGCCCAAACCTTGGTGAACAAAGCCCATGAACGTGATGGACACATCTGTAGCTGCTCGTGTCTCGCAAAGCCTCGCTGCTATCGTCTTCCCTGTGCGGCATCGCATGGTCCCATCTCCGAATCATAAGCCCAAATTGAACTTCGCAGCCCCCGATCATCAATGGGCCAGTCCGTATGAACGTCAAAATGGGGACTCCAGTGACGTCAAACACCTCGGACTTCAATCTTGGGGGATGGGACTCGGCAAAGATGTTGGGTCGTTGGAATGGGTTTAGCTGCCGGACATGTTGTGCGACGTGTCGCGCAGTTTGTGGCTTCGCACTTTTGGCTGTGGGGCTTCGGCACGGGCATCAGCAGCACTGGGGCCGCAGTAATATGGATTTACATGGCCGAGAAGCAATGCCGAAAGGATATTGCAGTATATTGCGCTCTAAACGCCGAGCTAAACCTGAGCTTATCTATCCTTCTTGCTCCGATTACAAACTTACGGTCCAAAGGCAATTTCATCACAGGCGCGAGAAGTCTTGCGAGGTACTCCAAGAGGAACACAACGGTGAAGAAGCATTCGGAAGCCACCCTGAGAGGACTGTCGAAGGCTTTGGAAGGAAAGGGCTGACAAACCTCCTCTGTTTCAGCAGAGGTGGCAGCGAGAGACACAGCGACGACTGAGGTCGTGTCCAAAACTCTTCCTCGGATGGGTGGGGCCAGCACAGCTGGGGTTGAGGGCTTGGCGAGATATCCTCAACCAAGCAACTCATGAAGCTGCAGTGCAGGAAAAACTTACTCTTGGCTTGCGGAGCACAAGACCGTGGGTACTGCTACTATCATGGCTGCTGATGTTGCCAGTGCTATACTGCTGCTCGACTGATTATAGAAGAAAGGAACGAATGTTTTCTGGATGTGGCAAAAGATGACCATGACGATACTCGAGAAGGCAAGAAGAACAGATTGAACAGCAGCATTCCAAAAAGAAATCCTAAACGCAAAGTATTTCAGAACAACTCGCGGTCATCTCTACTCAAAACCTACTCTAATCTGATCTAACCCTAACTTGCGATGTACCTGCGCACCCTTTCTTTTGTCCCCAAGGTTCTGGAACTGCCTGCAGCTCTGGCATGGTCTCCAGCATGAAGAGGGCGATGGAAAGGACGATGCATGCCTCGGTACTTTTTGGATCGTGCTAAACAAAGAAATCTTCAATGGGGGGGAGCCGCTAAGATGTGTTTTGTGGCGTCACGTTGGTGCAGTCTCAACAGCATCCCCCTGAAGTCACAGCAGAGACAAAGACTGGGTGTTTGCAAGAGGTCACTATCCCCTTGCTTTTTGCTGCTCTGAGCCGCAAAGATCACGATGGACAGGACTCTGGCAGATGCACCTCGTTGCGAGGTGTCTGGGTTCTTGTTAAGGGATGTAGCTTAAGTTACCAGAATAAGGACTTATAGTAAATAAGATGGGTTTAACCTAAGTTACCATAATAAGGACTTGTCCTGAATACTATGATTTCCTTATTATGGTAATTGAAGCTAACTCCCTTAAGAAGAACCCAGGTGTGAGAGGCTGTCTTCGGGCTCTCTGCGGCCACTGGTCGCTTGCTGAAAAGCGGGCGCCGATTCTTCAGGATCAACTTCGACCACACTTCACAGCCCGAACCCGACGCAGCTGAAGCACAAGGTTCAGTAATCCAAAAAGATAAAGTCAACAAGAATGACAAAGAATGATGCTTGCAGAAGCAGTGGAAGAACTACTCGCTTGGCCAAGACACTGGAACTCGGCTCTTCCAGGAGGAAGTACAGCTCCACACGGAAGGGCTGGAATCCTTCACAAGCAGAAGCTCGGAGGGTTCAGGGGCCACTCTGCCTGTCTCTGAGTTGGGATCAGTGTGGCTGACGGGTGGGGTGCGTGCTCTTGTTGATTCTTGCTGTCTTGCAGTTGCAGCTTTTGGCAATCTTGCGACTCTTGCTATTCTTGCTAGTGCGGTACTTCTCATGCTATGGATTCAAGACTCCCGGCCTCTGGGCGTTGCACAGACTCGGATGGTTGCAGTTCATGTGCGCTTGGCCTAAATCTCGCCTGCCCACATCCGCCCACGCCGACCCGCCCACACCTACCAGCCCCCAACCCACTCTCTCAACCACCCGCTCCACACCATTCGCCAATTTCAGAACAGAAGGTGACCCAGTGTGCAAATCCCACCTCATCCACCCCACGCCGAGATTGCTGAACTGACAATAGTCACGCAGCAGCATTAGCTCCTAACAGCCTCTCCCTCCTAAATGACTCCTAAACCCTTCAGCTCTCGACCCCTATCTAATCTAGCGTGCTGGACAAAGTGGGAGTTTCCGAAAATAGGGGACACTAATATAGCACCCTAAATAGTAGGATCCAGGTAATAAGGACCCCCAAAATAAGGTACCCTCCAATTTCGGAAACTCCCAAGTAAGCTGCCGACTCTTTGGAAAGCAGGGGTAGACCGGGGCGTTCTGCAGGTACTCCTCCCTCATTCTCGCGATCTCTGCACTGTCCGGCCTGAGCCGCCGTAGTAAGCATCAGAATACATTCTTCTGTATATTAAACGTATACTAGGGTAACTAATGTTTATTATACCATAGTAATATGCTACATTACTACAATGTCTATATTGGGAACCAAGTATAGGGAGATACTGTGCTTGCTTACAAGACGGAGCGTCACGGTTGCTCTCAAACAGCTGTTCTGATGGTTCGTTTCTTCGAGCTGCGTCGCTCTATGGCAAGACACCAGGAATCAACGTCACTTCTCGTCAATTCGCTTGTCGAGAACATGCCTGACCCTTGCGTGCTTAATTACACGCTTCGAACGGCCAAAGACAGGTTTTGTCGTGTGTGACGGCATCCATTGCTGCCATCCCAATGATGACTTTCATGCTTCCAGCGCATCCGTTTCCAACGAGCATCGACGGCCGAACCATGTCGCCGTTCGTTCTACCAGTCCAGTGCATCCACTTCCCCCCAGCATCCATGGCCGAGCCTTAAGAGGGCCGTGCTGTCGGTAGTGCACCCGAGCACCCCCCAAGCATCCGCTGAAAACCTTGCCTGATAAGGGCCGCCTTACCACTCCATCTTGTACACGCAGCTGCCAGAAAACAGAAGGAACAACCAAAATACGGAAAAAAAAACCGTCATGTCGCAAGTCCCGACAGCTGTGCCGAAAGCCCAGCCACGACACAGCATATACACCAACCCAACACCTTTGCAACTTATGTGCTGCGATGCGTTCGCTGTCATGGGCTAATTATGGGTAGCATTGTCGTCCTCATCTATGTCGTCGTTCGCTCGGTGTTGCTCATGTCGCCCTGTTTTGGTACTCAAACATACACTGACGTCTCCGAGAAATTTGATTGAAAGGACAGAGAAAGCTTGACATGGTTTCGCACGTTTGAGTCCACCACGTGTTTACAAGGATGCAGGCAAGCCCTGCAGCAATGACACTCGTTGAAAACATTTGCACGTCGGGACCGCCTTCTACGATCGTGCAAGCATGCCTGCACGTCGTCACGTGGCTTCTATCAGCTTATAGTGATGCTGCAGGGGAGTCTGGTTCTGATCATAAGCAGGTTAACGGTTACCGCAAGCAACTAAACTGTGGCCGGAGAGGTCGCACATTGCTCCCCCTTCGGAAACGCTGAGGGCCTCACATCGAGAACTTTGTCTTGCTGGCCTGGGTGGCTTTTGGGTTGGGGCCTTTTGGGCCTCATGAGCTGGGCTTAAACCGGGAGAAGACTGGCAGGCACAATATAGAAATAGTTTTAGCAGGGTTCGGGGTTATGATAAACCGTCATGAGGAACCCTGACCCTCGAGAATAGCCTGATGAGTTATTTGGGGCTTCCCTTTGGGTTGCAAGCAAAGCGGCCACGACCCTTGAGCTCGAATTCTGCCGGCCACCAGTTGTTCTGCTGGTGGAGGGCTCCTGGAAGCATTTCATCTTCGAGCCGAACGATCACAGACGAGCTGTCTGGTTTACGCATGATTGGGCAAGGACTGTAGGAGTACATGGGCGTTTCTTTTGTGTTCAGAAGAGATTGCGCAGACATGCCCTGACTTGCCTGACCTTGCCGCTGTGCTATCCAGCCTGACCCTGGTTTCCAGGCTTATCTGTTCGGGCGCTACTTCCCCTGACATCCTTCAATCATGGATATGCGGAGCGTTTGGTACCGACCGCCTCCGAGCTGACCCTCTCGGCTGGATCTTCATGCCTGTGCAGTCGGGGGGATGGAGAATCCGAGGGCTGAAAGTGACACACCACTACCAGTATTTCGGAATACTAGCAAAGCTGCCACTAGTACACTCACAGGACTGGTAGCAGGAGGACCCTTCTGCTAGCTCCAGGTCGGCCTCGAGTCGCCATCCAAGTCCCTCCTCATCTGCGCAGCTTTCCGCCGCTTGGATCCATCCCCTGACACCCTGCTTGGCCCGTGTTTCCTGCAAGGGGTTTTGGGGCTGAGGGCTGAGGAGTTTATACCGGCTTGGGGGTATCAGCTGAGGGGTTGGGGCCTAGTGACCTAGTGGGCAGACACTTGTCCTAGTTGGATATGCTTCGTCGATCTCTTCGCTAGCCCTCTCAGATAGATGACCTGCAACTTGGAGACTTGCTGCTCTGCGCCATGCCATGTCCCCACCGTTTTCCTGTTCTTTGAGCCGGCGAAGATGATGGGCGCTTGTGCAAGAAGGCGGTTCCCTACTGGAGCGCAGAACTGAACCCTTCAGAAAAGTTCAGCCTCTCAGTAGCCTAGGGCTAGCAAGCCTGACAGCCGCGGACAGCACAAACCCCCCCAGAATTCCGAAGAGGGGGGAGGGAGCCTTTTCTAAAAGCAGCGGGGCTGTCTCGTTGCATTGACGGCATGGGCATGTACAAAGGCATACATAACCGGAGCGCATCTTCCTCCAACTCTCCACCCACACAGCATATATGAGACATATGTTGCTTAAAGTCTCAGCTTGCAAGATGTAGCCTCAAACGCGAAGACATAGCTTGGGTGTAGATGTCACGGAAAGCGTCCGGAAGGGTGAGACGCACCAGTAGATCTGGGCAATCCGAACCTTCTGGTGACTGGCTGATGTAAACGCCTCCTACTTCGATGCGCCGAAGGATGCCTATTGTAGGGGCCGTATCTAAAATTATGATAAGGAGCCCCCAAGATAGTATAGGTAATTATTGAGGGGCCTATATTAGATCGTCCAGTTTGGCACGCGCAGGCGTGGCGAGTTCTGCTGCTCTGCGGCTTCGGCGAGGCGCTGGAAAACAGCAGCGGCACGCTTCAGTGTTGGGCTGTCACCTCCCCCATACGCACCTCCGATCCCTCCCATCCCACCAGCCATGCCTCCCATTCCTACTATTCCTCCGAGCCCCTGCTTGGCTCCCATTGCCGGCATGCTTGTGCCAATACCGAGTCCCTGCAGTCCCGGCCCTCCACACCCTGACCCTCCGAACCCTCCCGGCCCTCCAGGCTCTAACGTTCGTCTTGGACCACCAAGCTGCGCCGGACCGTCGGCAAGCGGAAACGGCCACTCCCTCACATCTCGCACGCTACCTTGGCGTGGCGATGGCGGCAAGGAGGGTGGCCGCCATGCCCTTCGCAGAACCGGCTCGTCGTAAGCCTCCCATTCGGGCCTCTCGAACCTTTCTAGCCTCTCCATCCTTTCCAGCCTCTCCATCCTTTCCAGCCTCTCCGCGCTGGGGGCGGACGGATCGTAGCCGAAGCCAAAGGAATCATTCATTCTTGGGCGTCTTGGCCTTGCTTGGGGCGCAGGCTCTTGCATTCGTGCCGCCGGGCGGCGGAGGGCCCTCAGCTGCGCACCTCGGCCAACCGCAGAGGCCGAGGCTGGGCGCCGTGATCTGGGCGAGGCCACACGGGGCTGCAAGGCCAGCGGATAGTCGTGGCTCTCTTCCACCACAGGCATTCGAACCAAGCCTCGCCGTGGCTGCGACCCCTTGGGAGACGGCGTCCTCGCCGAAGGAGCAGCTGTGGCGGCCATGAGTTCCAGGAGCCCATTGCGCTCAGGCTCGGGCAGGAAGGGAGAGCACCGGACATCATAAATCTGCTCGTCAAGCTCGAATGGCAGGCTGTTCAAGTCACTCCTGAGGACAGCTCTCACGACAGCGCATGCGAGAGAGCTGTGCTCCTCAAAGGACAAATCGATTTTGGCCACTGGGGACGTCGCGGTCTCCTCGCCCTTGCAGATCTTGCATAGAACTCTGCTGAATACAAGCAGGCGCATATCGTTTAGGCGCGGCAGCACGACGGCCAAGGTCAAAGTGATCTGGTCCCCGTAACCAGGCTCTTGCAAATTCAGCCAGATGAGGCGATCGATGATTTCACGAGCTGACCCACTGCGGAGAAGTGCGGAGAGCTTAACATCGGTCTGCAGAGGAATTGGGAGGTCCCTTGAACCGACCGGAGGGTATCCGTCAAACCTTCGTCCATGGAAGCTCTCGTAGCAAAGGGCCAGGATCGCTGAGGCCATCTCTCGCAGCAGGGCCGAGCACCAGGGCCGGGGCGGCGCGCTGACGAAGAGCCGTTGATCTGCCAGTTGCTTCTGGAGCTCCCCTGCAAGGGATCGCACCACCTGGGCCTTCTCTGCTACAGTCAAAGGCCGGCGATGGTGTCTTAGCTTGGAATCAAGGCCCAAGAGCTCGTAGAGTTCCTGAAGGGGATCTTGACGGCTGGCCTCGTAGGCAAAGGCCTCTGCCCAACTGCCCGGGCCCATCGACCGCAGCCTTTCCTCCAGGTTTCGGCGCAAGGCCTCGTCTCCCAACTCGGCTAAGCTTTTTGTTGACCCATTCAGGACTGCAGCGGCATTCAAGGACCACTGGAGGCTCCCGTTGTCCTCCGCCGCATCTACGAGATCGCGGAGGTGACGGAAAGCCTCTCCTTGCATTGCCGGAGCTGCACTAACCTGGTGTTTCAGGCACTAGTTGAAAACAAGTAGTCAGTATAGTCTCCAAATCGCTTTTGCAAGCCATCCCTCTCATGTCCTCGACACTGAAGCGTCCATCTTGAGCAAGACGCATCAGGGCGAGCAAAAGAGAGCAAGCACAGATGATGTGTCTGATGTGTAGCGGTGCAAGTCACAGGTCGGACTTCTGAACTTTTCCTGATATGAACGACTTTGGCTCATAGAAACTGTGGCATGATCATCATGAAGCGAGGTGAGGATGCGAGGTGAGACGAAAACATCCTTCGTTGTCCGTTTGACTTTACATGTCCGTGCCAGGTCGGGGCTGAAGCAGTCCTAGGCCACAAACCCCTGAAACTGACGCCAAGCCTACATAAGTTCACTCGTCCCAACTTGGAGACTAAATGGCTCCTGAAACACCGTCTCCCGGCAGGGGCCATCCAGCCGAGCTCGGCAGGGTCAAGCAGCTCCAGCTTTGGAGCTGCTCACACTGCCCTATGCGGAACGTAGCTCAGGCACTGGTTGTGGAGCTTTGATGTGACTCCGGAGTCTCGCCGTTCTTCCCCGTGACCCGGAGGTAATATTTCTGCGACGGCGCGATCAGTCAACTCCGGAGCAAGAAACAGAGCTAATGCAGCCCGACGGCCCAGAAAATTTCATTGCAAACCCCGGAACAAACGCGAAGTTCGACTAGGTCAGATGTGGTGCCGCCATAGCTTTCTCACACTGTCCCGCTCGTCTCTCCCAACCCTCGTATCTAGCCGCAGATGGACTCCTAAAGCCACGAGGGTCTATCGACAAAGCCCTTCCATCGCAAGGCAAGTCCTCCATGATCTTCTCGGCCGTCTCCTTGTCCTTCAAAGCCGTCTCTAGGGCTTCTTGAGCCCTTGCAAGTTGGGTCTTCAGCTCCTGCCGGAGGGGCGCGCCGCTACAAACAAAGGTATAATATACATATGAAAACAAACAAACATGTACATGTAAATATGGGTAGACATATACCTATACATATACATATACATCTACATATACAAATACACATACATATACATATACTTATATATACACACATACATACATACATACATACATACATACATACATACATACAAAGAGAAAGAGAGAGAGAGAGAGAGAGAGAGAGAGAGAGAGAGAGAGAGAGAGAGAGAGAGAAAGAGAGAGAGAGACAGAGAGAGAGAGAGAGAGAGAAAGAGGATGGTAATCAACCGTTCAATATGTGAAAGAGAGTATGTCGAATATAACATATATGTAGATATACAATACGCAATATGCACCATCAAACTAACATGTATAATACACTATCCGCGTGCATAATGACATACATGCATGCATACCTACAGACAACATACATATGCACGTGCCGTATTCATCCATGCACCTCCATTATGTTGAGTCTTCTCGCGCGGACTAGGATACTAAATCTTAGCACTAAGGTGCTCACTCAATGAAGTGTTACGAACACTCCATCTGTAAGTGCTCAAGAATCCATTTTTGAGGACTTCACGACAGGCCCGATGCCAATGGATTTCTCCGACTGCTTATCTGCTGCTGCAGGTCAAGAACCCATCGGAGAAACGCAGAGACCCCCGAGAGCTTAGCACTTGGTCGCCACAGACTCGGCCCCAGGTGCCTCTAGTTCGGACACCATCTTCTTCTCCAGTTTCCTGGTGGTCGAGCAGAGCATGGGCAACAACGTACTGTGCCGAAGTGTGGCAACATGTCGCTGTGCAGCTGAGGCGCTGGTGGAACTGTGGATCGTTGCAGGCTGCCATGATGGAACGGCCCAAGCTTTTCAAGTCGTCATCTTCCACCTTCGACACCACTCACTGGGAAGTCCGAGGCAAGATACCGCTCTCTGGCATAAACTGCGGTCCGGCACCGGCAGGCCTCCTCGCCGTCCTTTGTAACATAGAACGTCAAAGTCAAAGTGCCTGAAAAAGAAGTAGCTGTCGGAGTCATAACACCGATTCTTTGCAAAGCATCACCACCACCACCGCCACCATCGCCACAACACCCCCGTCATACCCATCACCACCATCACCACCGTCACCATCATCACCACCACAACCGCCGTACCATGGCCATCAGCAGGCCTGCACGAAGAAACTAGAGCATGACAGACCCAATCGCTGCATGCAGGTTACAGGAAGACGCGTGGCAGCCGAAACAATGGAGCTGTGGAGCGTAGCAGGGCGTTTAGCTGAGACTACACGACCTTGGTCGCATGATGACGATGTTGACCACTCTGGTGCTGGTGCTGGTGCACTGGTCTGGTGCTGGTGCCGGTGCCGGTGCCGCGCCCGTGCCGGCGACGATGTTGACGATGGTGGTGGTCATGATGCTGCTGCTGAAGATGGCCACGATGAACATGGTGGCAAAGGCGATCATGCGGATGATGGGCGCGATGATGTGGGCGATGATAAAGACGATGACGATAGTAAGGCAGGAT